AACTAGATGGTGCCTGGTTACCACTGGCAACTACTCGGGAAGGGATCAGTGCAGGAGATCCTGAACAGAGTGGGAAAACAATGTGGAACAAACTTCAAAATCATAAAAAAAAAAAAAAAAACAGGTTTACTGGTCTGATAGAGCCTGGTGAAACTCCTGAGACTATGAACCCTAGTTACCTTTCAGGACTAGAATTGAACTTACTCTGGTGGCTTCCAGCCAAACAATAGACCGGCATATAGGGTGAACACTTACACCAAGTAGATACTCTTGGAACGATCAGTCATAGGAGAACTGAGGGGCAGTGTTTTCACAGAGAGATAGCTCAGGGGGCAGGAATGGACAGGAAAGAAGGACACAGGGAAGAGATACTTACAGGGAGGAATTGGGAAAAGAGCTGTCACACTGTGGGGATTGCAGTCAATGTCAAGAAACAAAATGTGTATGAACTGCAGTGTGGAAAATGAATTTGTTCTGTAAACTTTCACCCAAATGGCAATTTAAAAAAATAATAATACAATCCCTTTACATAAGGATGTAAAACCCTCCAGCTCAAACCAGGAATCCCCTTAGCATTGCTATGGACAAAGTACATACAGTTGAATCGACTGATTGCTTATTTATTTAATTGGCCATGTGTTCTAGGATTTCAGCATCTCCTCCATCATCTGGACTTTCCTTTCTGGATGATTCAGGACTCTTGTTTTGCTTATCTTAGATTTCCTTCAGTGTCCAACACAGAATCCCACAGGGACCCACAAAGAGATCCTCTCTCTTCTTAGGGAATGAGTTTTCTGCCTAGTATACATATGCTTAAAGAGCTCTGGTAGTGCAGTGCCTAAGACATGTGACTGCTAACCAGAAGGCTGGTGGTTCAAACCCACTAGCTGCTCCATGGGAGGAAGATGGGGTAACCTACTTCCATAAAGATTTACCTTCTTGGAAACCCAGGAGGGGTTGCTATGAGTCAGAATTGACTCAATGGCAGTGGGTTTGGTTTGCTTTTGGTTTATACATATGCTTTACATATGAGATCATATTGATCCCATCAAAGCTTGCTATAAAAATAAATAACTTCCTTAATGAGTCCCATTAAAAATAGAAAATATGTTTATTTGGAAAATAATTTGTTTGTAACTTAACACTTATGGTCCCAAATAATTTTTTTTTTAAATAAGCACAATTTTTGATTCAATAGGATATTTTCAATTTATATATATTGAACATAATTAAAATCATATTTCAAGAAAAATAATAACTTTCTAATAAAGCTTGAACCATAATACCAAAATTTAAGAATAATAGCATGTGCTTGAACTAAGTTACAAAGTAGAAATACAGCAAAAATAGGAATATATTGGCCTATCAACACTCTGGCTGTTGACTACTTTTCCTCATATTCAATTATAATCTCAAAAGCTGTCACAGTTGGACTAAAGTTTTCACCAATTTAGGAACAATCTACGACTTTTAATTTTGTAGTTAAAAATCATTCTTTTTTTTAATAAGACTACCAAGCATAATTCAAAATGCACCAACAGCAGAAGAAAAGCCAGATGATTGGGACCTTCTAAAAATTAAAT